TAAAGCCATCCCCTCTCCCACCATATCACCCTCCCCCACGGCTGCCACCAAAGCCATCATGACCACTGAAGTTTCCTCCATGACCAAAGTTGTCACCACCAAAACCACCTCTTCAACCACCACCGAAGTTTCCAGAACCACTTTGACCTCTAGGGCTGGAGGAAGCACTAGCCATTTCTTTTTGGACAGGGCTTTCCTGACTCCAGAGTTGTGGCCATTCACAGTATAGTGTTTCTGAATGACAATCTTATCCACAGAGTCATGATCATCAAAGGTTAGAAAAGAAAAGCCCCTCTTCTTGCCACTGCCTTGGTCAGTCATGATTTCAATCATTTCTATTTTCCCATACTGTTCAAAATAATCTCTTAGATGATGTTTTTCAGTGTCTTCTTTAATGCCACCAACAAAGATCGTTTTCACAGTTAAGAGGGCACCTGGTCTTTGAGAATCTTCTCTTGAGACAGCCCTCCTTTGGTTCCACAACTCTTCCACCCACCTTGTGTGGTCTTGCATTCATGGCTGCTTCCATCTCGTCCACAGTGGCATACGTGACAAACCCAAAGCCCCTGGAGCGCTTGGTGTTTGGATCTCGCATTACCATGCAGTCTGTGAGCATTCCCCATTGCTCAAAATGGTTCCTCAGGCTCTACAGTTGTTTCAAACCTCAACCCTCCGATAAAGAGTTTCTGCAGCTGTTCTGGCTCTTTGGGACACTCCAACTTAGACATGACAGCAGTGGGAAGAGAGTTCAACGATGCTTCCCTGGCGGTGTCCACAGGCAGAAAGCAAGATTTATTTCATTTTATCAATTTATTTAAAAATAATTATTTTTTATCATTATTAAAATTTGCTATAGGGGACATGTGCTCACCAAACAGAGAGAGAGAGAGAGAGAGAGAGAGAGAGTGAGAAAGCAAGCTACAGGTCCAGGACCTGAACTGTGGTCAGCCATGTGGGAGTCCAGCAGCTTAACTACTACACTGCCTACTGGCACCAATTTTATTCTTATTATTTTTTAATTTTTGATTTGTTATAGGGCACATGTGCTCACCAGAGAGATACAGAGAGAGACAGTGAGAAGGCAAGCCACCAGGTTTAGGACTTGAACCCTACTGGGCCATATGGGTGTCCCATGCCCTAACCACCATACCAACTGCTGGTCCCACTGTTAATGCTTTTTGTTTTGTTTTGTTTGGAAAAGGTTTTGGGGACCAGCAGTTGGCTTAATGGCTATGTCGCTGGATTCCCATGTAGTCAACCACAGTTCAAGTTCCGGACCCGGTAGCTTAAACTCATGCTGGGCATATATGCATGCATGCCCAGGATCCTGAGAGGAGAATAGAGAAGGGATTGTGGCGTGACCATCCCTCCTGGGGGGTGATTTCTCGCTTTCTGTCTCTCTGTCTCTGTCTTTCTGGCAAATGTATGCGCCCTATAGCAAAAATCTCTCCCCCGCCAAAAAAGAGAGGTTTTTGCTTTAGGGTGCATGCTTGTTTCACCAGAGAGAGAAAGAGAAACAGTGAGAGGGAAAGTGAGAAATCACACCCCTATGCTGCAGTCCCTTCTGCATTCTTCTCCTGGGATCTTGAGCACACACACTCACTTGCATGCCGTGATTTTTTTATGGAGAGGTTTTTGCTATAGGGCATGTGCGCTCGCCAGACAGAGAGAGAGAGAGACAGAGATAGAAAGCGAGAAATCACCCCCCCCCAGGGGGGATGGTCATGCTGCAATCCCTTCTCCTCCATTCTCCTCTTGGGATCTTGGGCACGCACGCACACGC